CCGGTATCTCAAATTTATTACACCAAAGCTCTCATTCTAGATGGTGTGACCGAGATTACAGATTTCTAGATTCTACCAATCATCGAATAGCCGTTAACCGTATCACAGGGCTATTTTTCAAAAACGTCATCCGTGGAATTTGAACTTTAGACCTGCTGTCTGGGGTGCGACAACTCCACCACTTCACTAAGTCACTACACCCCTAAGCAAATTATAAATACAAAATATAATAACAAATAATAATTATAATATTGTAAAGCACCAAAGGTGCAGAGCAACTAGTAACCAAATTATAAAGCAAATATGAATGCTAATGTTGCAAAGCACCAAAAATGTAGAGTAACTAGTAACTAAACTATAAAGCAAATATAAATACTATTGTTGCAAAGCACTGAAGATGCAAGCAACTAGTAACCAAATTATAAGCAAAACATAAAAAAATCAAATAATATAAATATATACATATTAGATTCTAGGTCTAACTTCAAACTATTTCTCAAACAAATTTATTTCCAAATCATTTTCAAAACTATCAAAACATTCACAGTTACTAGTCTGAATTTTTGCAAGCTTCTAATATTGATAAAATGCTTTAGAACAATGCTTGTCTGAATGTTTTTTACAAGTACCATATCCAGAAAAAGTCTTTTTATTGTATTCAGATTTTATACATAAATATTGTTTAAATGAATTCTAATAGACTTTATATCTCTTTAAATTATAGCATCTCCAATTGCACACTTCTTCATTTCTAAGAATATATAGACAATTATAAAAATTCCAGGGTATCACTTTTTTTTTACCTCCTATAATTTCTTTTTTGAATAAATATCTAACACTAATTATCTAAATAAAATAATTTTTATTTTAGATTTTTTTTTAACATTATAATATTCAAGAAAAACATAAGTGGATTACTTGGTAGTATTATTAGTATATTAAAATGATTATTTAGAAACATCTTGCCAAGTTAAGAAAACTCGGCACCACCTAAGTTATCTAAACCTTCTGAGCCACTAGTACTAAAAGAAGAGCCAGAGCCAAAAAAGGAAAAAGAAAAGTAACTATGAGACTGCCAACGAAGAAGATATATCAAATTCTGAATCTGATAACGAGTCTGAATCTGAAAAAGTAGACAAAATAATATTTTGAAGAATAGAAGATTCAGCTCCAAAAAGGTTAGTAGAAACTAGAAGAATTTCTGACCAATGTTTATGTATCGATCATCTTGCTATTATTTTAGAAACTTATTCATATCAAGAAGATCTCTTAGCTATGTTTGAGAATGTTGAAGACCAAATTAGTAATATTTATAGAAAAGAATTAGCTCGATTAAAGATATTAAAATAAAAATTGTTCTTATTGCTTATATGTATTAGATTGTACAAGGAGGATGTTTTGGATATTGAATAGATCAAGATATAGCATTTTCAAGTAAAATTTTAGATATTATTTACCAGAATCGAATAAACCAAACAGTCTCATAACAATATAATGAAATTTTGGATAAAATCGATAAAATAAAATATAATCAATATTCAGGCTAGATTTATAATTATAGAAAAAAGATCTTTCTAGAAATACGTATATATAAAAGCTTATCTAGCAAGTAAAGAGGCCTGTAGACAGGGTCAAAGAACAAGAAATCTTCATGATATTAGTAGATTACAGTGCTTTGATAACATATTAGACTTCTCTAGTATAGATTTTTCTACTATATTGCATGATATTGATAAATTTTAAGAAAACAATCCATCTTATTCAATAAATATTTTCTATTCAGCACTACTCAAAAATAACAAAAAGCAAGCAACTAGAAAGATAAATCTACTTCACATATCAGAATATAACTATCAAAGAGAATATATATGATAGATTTAATATTATTTACCAAAAGAAAAAAAAATTTGAAGGATTGCCAAAATATTAATAAAATCTCTCCAGAATTAAATATATACTATTGTTTTATCAATGGTAAAAATGGTTGAAATCAGATTATATGAACTTGAAATAAGTTTTATGGCTGAAAATACTTCTATCATCATTGTATGATAGTTCTATTCTCAAGATTAGATTTGCTTCAAGAATATATAAAGCACAATTGTTATAAACGAAATAATCCTAATACAGGGCAAAAAGAAATCTTCCTGAAAAAAGATAAGCATATTATAAAATTTGAAAATTATAAAGCAATAGAAAACATACTATTTTATTTTGTCAAAGATCTTGAAGCAGATAGTAATCTAGTAAAGAATAATATTATCAATAAAAAGACCATTAAACTACAGAAGCAAAAGCCTAATAGTTATAGTTATATATTAATCCAACAGATAGAAAGCTTGCAAAAAAAATTATTAGACAAACTCTGAACTTAATTGCAAAGTCATAGAAAAGTATACAATATAACTTGGAAGAAATTATCAAGCCAATATTATACAATCTAGAAAAAAATAAAATAACAGAACATAATTGGCAAACATATAACTTTACTATAAGATACTATATATACTAGGTTAATGCATAGCATTGTGTGTTCGGAGCCTATTATAATTTTGTAAAAACGTGTTTGTTTTTGTAATACCAAAATACAAATTTAGACATGCGTGCGGACAGACAAGAAAATTAAAAATTATATTTTTGATATATTTCTTAGTAGTGTATCAAAATAGTAACTTTTAATGTATCAATAACGTAATTTTGGTATTACTATACATAAATACTAAATGTTCTCCGCTACGCTCTAGACAATGAAGGAATACTATATGAAACCTATTATATATTTTGATTCAACCAGAAAATTCATAAGCAATACATATTATAGTTGTGTTAAAATCAAGTATAAAACTATAGAAGAAAACCTAATAGAAGCTTTATATTGTATAAAAGGTTTAAGTATAGAAAAGGAAAATATATTTTATATAAACAGTATCTAAATACTGTTTATATAAAATAAAACTTTGAGCTGATATAAATAACAGGGTTAGAGATCATGACTATTTTACTAAAAAATATTGTAGCTCAGCACATTGTGGTTGTAATCTAAAGCTCTGAATAAAGTCAATGAAATTAAAATTCTATTAATATATTATAGTAGAAAGTATTATGACTTCCATTATGAAATGTGAGAATTAGATCTAGTTAGTAAAGACAAAATTGAAATAATTGTAAACAATCAGAAGAACTATAAGACAATAATAATTGGCCAAAAAAAATTTATAAACTTCTACTAATTCTAGTTTCTATTATTAGAAAAAGTAGCAAGTAATTTGTGTAGCCAAGAAAGAACTTCAAAGCAATTGGCTAAATGTTTTTCGATTATAACACAAAGCATATTCTAGCAATTGTTTCTATTACTTATACAAAAAAGTAAATACTTATATGAATTAAATGATTCAGAGCACTTCTCTAGAACAGAGCTTCCATCAAGAAAGAAATTTAATATAGTGTTAGGTATGTTAAATTATTGTAACCAAGGGTTTAAAAAGTATAAACATGAAATAAAAGATAAAAAGTGTAATAGAAAATACAAAGAAGAGAGTTTTAAAGAAACTGATAATTATAAAATTAAAAAAATTTATATCATTAGTTAAAAGCAATATAACTATGCACAAAAAGTATAGAAAGAAGCAAAATGTAAAATATTTGGGAACTATTATAATTTATATCTCAGAACTGATATTTTAATATTAGCAGACTCAATTCAATATTTTCGAATAACAATGAAAGAAGTATTTAAATTAGATCTTTTGAACTATATAATATTGCTATCATTTATATTTGATATAACAAAAAAATAACTAAGGTTAAACTTGAATTATTCTATAAAAAGCAAAAGGATATGCATAAATTTGTTTAATGTTAAATATGAGATAGAAATTCTATAGCACTATGTCATATAGCAAAAGCCAATTTTTAAAGATTATAATAAGCAAAAAGCCAACAAATAGCTTCTTTATCTAGATGCTAATAATTTATATAGATGCACTATGTTTTAATATTTGCTAATAGGAGAATTTAGATAGATTGACATAAACAACCTGCCTAATATATATTCTATTTCACCAACTGCAAAATAAGGTAGTGCTTAGAAAGTAAAATTAAGATATCTAAAAAATCTTCATTTATCACATAGTGACTATCCACTTTGCTCAAAACATCAGGTAGTTAAGCAAAATAAGCTTAGTCCATATCAAAATAATAATTCAATTGATAAACTGAACAGTGAAAAATTTGCAAAAACAGAAAAATTGGTAGCAACTTTAGAGACTAAAGATCGCTATATTATTTATTATCAAAATTTCCAATAGTGTCTTGAACTAAAGATAGAACTTGAGCATATATACTATGTATTAGAGTTTGACTAATCTTTCTGGCTCAAACCATATTACAGCAAATACTACATAGCATCGTAATGCAAAAAATATATTCAAAAAAGATCTATGAAAATTAATAAACAATATAGTATTTAGAAAAACTATAGAGAATATTTGGTATTACATATAGTAGGGTTGCGAGCACAGAAAAATTTTTGAACATGCTCTACAGATAAATCATGTGTAAGTTTTATATATAAATATAATAACAGATAACATATACGTGCATTAAATTCACTTTATAATATAGCAATATCTGATATTAATGTTAAAAAAATTTTTTTTATTAAAAAAAATATATATACAACAAATATATTTTATTGTTTATTCAGTAATAAATCTATAGGTTTTCAAAAAAAATGTCATTAACAGACCAATCTTCTTCTAGAGACAGATCTTGTTCTGTATTAAACTGAGGCAAATTTACTAATGCTTCTTGCTCTTTTTCAAATATTTCAAAATCAAAAAGCTTCTCTATAAAAAATGCTTCATTTTCTACGATTATTTCTTCTAGCTCTTTATTTAGATCTTCTAACACTTCATTTTCCTCATTAAAGAAAATATCCAAATTTCTATCATTGTCGATTAAAGGCTTGGAAATAGTTCTATATTGCTTGGTTTTGGTAGATACCTTTTTCTTGAGCTTATTTCTGAGCTGCCCAAAGATAGAGAGATTATCTGGTGTAATTTTATTTCAAGTTTTTGATTTTACTAGACCAAGTGAAGAAAAAAGCCATTCATAGCCAGCATTATGAAAGACAATAGCAAGAACTTTTATCACAAAACAATGTAATATAGATGTTTTTCTAGTAAATTTAGACCAGAAAAATCAAATAGTTTTTGATAAGTCAAGAGAGATTTTGTTAAATAGAGGATTACTGTTTTTGTAACTAATAAATTCTTTAAACAAAAGACTTGTTCTCTTTTACTGAAATTCTATACTTTAGCCAATTCTAATGTAGCATAAATAATTTTATCTTTATTCATTTTTTTAGATATAGCCAATTTTTTATAAGTTGGGGAAAGAAATAATGCAATAAAGTAAATATTACTATCAAACTCCCTTGCACATTTGTTAATAACAGCAAGGGCATGTTTCTGAAAACCTTCAATAGGAACTTGGAGTAGAGATAATTCATAGTAGATATAAATGAGTTCTTTAAAAACGTCAGCAAGTGTAAAATCATTTGATTTTAATCTTCCAATAGCATCAACCACTGACTTAATTACTTTTATCAATGTATCATTGGTGGCAAAATGATATTTATTGCAAATGATATCTTTTACTATATTATTATCAATTTTAGGATATTTGGGACATTTGGTTTCACTCAAGGTCAAACAATGCTAAAAACCTTGTTCATATACTAACACATCTATGCAGACTTTAGCAAGTGAATACCACCTTGTTTTACAAAACGTTGCCAGGAAGTGTTTAATTTTTTTATCTTTTTGCTAGTTTTGCAGCTCTCGATACCAGATATAAGATAAATTAAAAAAGTTAATAAGTTTTTAATTTTTTTTTACAAATAGAAGCGGCAGCAGAGAAACTAACAATATCTTTAACAATCAAGTTTAAAACATGTAAGCAACAGCAAATAGGGATTATATTAGGGTATTTGTTCTAAATTTAATAATTAAAATAAGTATACTCAACAACTATTACTAATATCTACAGTGTATTAAAAAATATATCATACTTATATTAAGCATTCATCTCATTTTATCCATATTTGAGATGTTATCAATAACAATAGCAATAGTGGATAATATTTGGATACCACTTGATGAAAATATTTCTTTTACTTTATCTTTAAGAAAGTTATTTGTATAATAATTTGCAGACAGGTCAAGAATATCTAATACAATTTCCTGCTGCTCTTTAAGAGCCATAAATCTATAAATAAAGTTTTTCGAATTATCAGTCTATCCATCTAAAGATACCATGAGATCTGTTAGAACAGAAAAAGTTTTTAA